TTTATTGATAAATAGTAGGTGCAATTTTGTTCCTCCCTTGATTCTAATCTCTTATGATTTATCCATGATTCGAGGGCCGTTAGTGGCACATTTCTCGAACTAGGATGATTTAGATTTGACCTCTATATGAATATTCCATCTATTTGCAGAATATTTGAGATGCCTTTTAAGGAAATTTAGTATCCTTTATATAAACATGAACTAGGGTTGGGTAGCCTCTAAGAATTATAATTGAAACTTAACACACCTTCTAGAATCTCGATTCGAATTGAACACGTCTTGTAGAGTCTCACAAAATTTCAATGTCTACAAATGCCCCCTGCTTCAAGGCTTGTTGGAGTGTAGAATCGATGAAACTCAAAGACGAGGCTTGAAGTACTCATTATTCCACCTTTGCAGCTTCAGATTTTCATATTTGATTTATGAGATAAGAGATGAAGGACAGATTTGGTCCTACTGGGAGTGTCAATTTGTTTGCAACAAATTTTAAAGTGACAAAAAATAAATTACAATTATAATAAAATAAGAAGAAACATAATTTCATTCATCAAGATTGCGGGTACAATTATGTTCCTCCCTTGATTCAACTCTCCTAAGATTTATCCATGATTTGAGGACCGTTAGTGGCGTATTTCTCGAACTAAGATGATTTAGATTTGACCTCTATATGAATATTCCATCAATTTGCGGAATATTCGAGATTTTGATCTCTTTACAATTTTTTTGAGCTTTCGATCTCTTTATGGAATTTTCGAGATGCCTTTTAAGGGAATTTAGTACTCTTTATATATGCATGAATTAGGGTTTAGGGTTGAGTAGCCTCCAAGAATTATAATTGAAACTGAACACGCCTTCTAGAGTCTTTATTCGAATTGAACACATTTTGTAGAGTTCCACAAAATTTTAATGTTTGCAAATGCCCCCTGCTTCAAGGCTGGTCGGAGTGTAGACTCGATGAAACTCAAAGACGAGGCTTGAAGTACTCATTCTTCCACCTTTGCAGCTTCAGATTTGATTTATGAGAGAAGAGATGAATGGTAGATTTGGTCCCATTGGCGTGCCAATTTGTTTGCAACAAATTTTAAAATGACAAAAAATAAATTGCAATCACAATAAAATAAGAAGAAACATAATTTATTCTTCAATGCAGGTACAATTTTGTTTCTCCTTTGATTCAACTCTCCTAAGATTTATCCATGATTCGAGGGCCGTTAGTGGCATATTTTTCGAACTAGTATGATTTAGATTTGACCTCTATATGAATATTCCATCAATTTGCGGAATATTCGAGATTTCGATCTCTTTACGAAATCTTCGAGGTTTCGATCTCTTTACGAAATTTCCGAGGTTTCGATCTCTTTACGAAATTTCGGGATGTCTTTTAAGAGAATTTAGTACCCTTTATATAGGCATGAACTAGAGTTTAGAATTGAGTAGCCTCCAAAAATTCTAATTGAAACTGAACACACTTTTTAGAGTCTCAATTCGAATTGAATACGTCTTGTAGAGTCCCACAAATTTTCATTTGGGACTTGATATCCATATCAAACTCAAATTAATTAAGTTTATATTGGATAAGGTTCATTCAGGTGTTTCCCTATTAAAATATTAATACACAAAACTTGAATGAGAAATTAATTCATGAGGTGTATCACCAATCGCTTATACTTTTCAAAATTTTCTTATATTCGTACACAATCCTCACATGCGTTTATGAAATGGCTAAAACTTAAATGTGTGGATGCAATAGAAACCAAAAAAAAAAGAAAAAAAAGAAATGGATATAATTGTACCTACCAACTGAAAGACCTTTTTCTTTCTCTCTCTCTCTCTTTTTTTTTTTTTTTTTTTAAGAAATAAGGTTTATGTATATCACTATTTTTTTTTATCTTCTTTACGAGATTATATTGAATATATTATTATTATTGTATTCAATATCCAAGTTAAGCTCGATTGATTCGAATTCACATCCAAACATTTTATTTTGAGGATAAAATATTTTCGGTTTTATTTTTAAAAGTCAAAATATAAAAGGCTGATGCTTCTGGTAAAAAAAATATTTATTATTTTATCACAATTTTTTCACGGTTAAATAGATTTCTTTGTTTTGCTTAAAGATTATGTTGAAATTTGTAAGTAAAATGATTATGACATGTAAATTAAATAGCTTATAATTATAGAGATCTCAACAAGTCATACTAATCAATCGCTTAATTAAAAAGGGGATAAAGGTCTGAAAAATATTTCAACTTTGGTCGAATAACTTTGGTCGGATTTGTTGTTGCGATACTAAACTTTCATGAGGACCTATTACCTCCCTAGACTATTTAATACCGTATTTTAAACATATATATTTGCCCACGTGGACATAAAAAATAATGCAAAATTATAAATAGTAATGTGTCCAAGTGGGCACATATATACCTTTAAAATACACTATTAAATAGTTCAGGGGGTAAAAAATACGGTATTAAATAGTCTAGGGAGGTAATAGGTCCTCATGAAAGTTTAGTATCGCAACAGCAAATTCAACAAAAGTTGGAGTATTTTTTAGACCCTTATCCCATTAAAAAGATAAAAATAATAATTCTGATTTTTTATGAATTATTTTGTTCTGCATTTCGAAATAAGTAGTACTTTATCTTAAAATTGTTTTATCTCAATTTGTAAAATATTTTTTTCAATCACATTTCACCAACCTAACGACATACATTGTCCAAGCATGTAAAATCAAAGAGTCGAATAAAAAGTGCTCGTAATTGATTGGTGAAGTTGTGAGTTCCCCCAATTAGGTGGAACAAGCAATGACTTGCTTTTAGGTTTGGTTAGGTATAAAGTAGCCTTTCTTGTCCATTTATATCACACACAAAAAAAAAACTTAATTATAAAATCTTCTCTTTATTATTAGTATAAAATAATTATTTTAAATTATAAATTATAAATTTCAATTCTTTTTATATCTAATCAAATAATATAGAAAATAGTATCCACAATATAGTCGTTTAGAGACTTTTGTTTATGGAGAAATTTTCTCTAAACATGTTTATACTATTTTCAATATTAATTTTTTTAAAAATAATCAAATAATATCATATAAATAAAGACGAAAAAAATATTTTGTGCCAAATGGTTATTAACTAACTAGTGGACAACTTCATACCCCATCTCCAAAAATTGACTTTGCAACACACTTGTGGATTGTGGTACTTCCTTTGTGCCTAATTGTCTGTCATTTTGTATATTTTCAACAATGAAATTGTGGAGTACCAAACTTTGATTAACATCTCCTTAGCAAATTCTATTATTCCCCTCTATTTCAATTTATGGTTTAATCCCTTTCTATGTTGTTTAAAAAATAATTTTATTTTTATTTTTTTAAAAATTGTTATTTTAAACATTTTATAATGTATTTAATTAGCTATAAAAGCTTCTCACTAAAATTAAACATGAAATATAAGTTAAAGTATTTCTAAATTTTAAAAGTTTCCACTTAAATTAGAATATAGGAAGTATTAAGTATTTGAGAAGTAAATTTTTTTTTTACAAGTCTAATTACAAATTTGAACTTTTATTTTTAAAAAAAGACATAAATTACGCCTTATAGTTAACTACAAAAATAATTTATACACTTTAATTTTAGAGGCTATCTAGCCCCTTCCCTTTATTTTCTTTTTAGTGGATATGTGATATGAAATTATAATTTTAAATACTAATTTAAATTTATAATTCAAAATCATAATTTCATATAGCATCTTTTAATACAAACTTAAAAGTTTATGAATATATAATATAAAAAAGGAAATAAAAAAGAAAAGAAAAAAAAGAAGTATACAATAGTAATAGATAAAAGTCCGCATAAAAAAGATATGGTGTAATGAATGAGACAACCCCTTTTTTAAATAATCTTTAGGTTTGATCGAACGAAGGTCTACGCCCCAACCCATGTAAATCAGTCGAACTTCAATATAAAAAAGACATGTATGAAAAAAATAAGTGTACACGCAATCTGTGTATGTCGCAAGCAAAGAGTACAGAGACAATACCCCTTTATCTCTCTTATTCTTGATTACCTGCAACACTCTTCCCATTATTCAAAGTCGCGTCTTTCACCTTCTTCTTTACCGTAAGTCTTTTCTCCTTACTCTTTTTACCTCTCTATGTATGTATTTACTTACCAAAGTTTATAATTTGTTTCTTCAATTTCTTGAGATATATCTTTCCATCTACTTGATTTGGGTGTTACAAATTTTGTTTTGGGTTGTTAATTTTAGGGTAATTTTTCATCTCCTTTTTATGTAATTTAATATTTTTACTAATCCAATACATACAAACAACAATGGATGCGATTGAATCCGCAGCTAAGGGCTAGATCCGCATCTTTAGGCATATCTGTTCTAACTGGGGGGTTTTCAGCTCTATCTGTATATCATGTTTATGGAGGATTTTAGTATTTAATTAACCTTTAATTAATAATAATAAAATGATCTGTGTAAGAAGGGGCTTTAGTAAGTTGTCTTCCCTTTTGCTCAAGGCTTTTGTTGCTCAGATATGCTTTTGAACTATGTTGTTCGGACTCTTCAAAAATGTGGATGGTTGCGTGTCGGATCCTTCAAAAGTAGTGCATTTTTGAAGGATAAGATATGGGTGGGGCATCATTATTGAAGAGTCCGATCAACATAGCTTTTGAATGGAGTGTCTTACTTATCCTTACGGCTTACTGCTCTTTTTTTAAATCGAAAGCTCAGATTTTTATTGTTGCATATCGTATTTTGATGACTATTAGCTCGGGTATTTTCTCCTTGAAGAAGTTTAAGCAGAACCAGATGCAACAAGCATATGAAATATGTATTTTTTGAAATGCTAATGTTAAAGATGGATATGTGGAATTGATAGGACAAAATGAATAAAGTAACAATGTAATGCTAAAGGATTGATGAAGATATGTAGAAGATACATTTGTCCGAAAATTGATCAAGGTATTCTTATGTTTTACCCATACTCATGGAAAAAATGGAGGAGAAAATAAAGCTGAATAGAGAAGTTGACTCATGTAGCTGGCCCCAAGTAATTAGTAGGTGTGCATTAAGTTGATCTTATTTGTATAATAACATTTATCCATATCTCTTTACATGTGCATTTTTTTACTTGCATTTGGTTCGGGACATCAGATGTATTTGCTTGTGGTTAGGTTTTCCACCATTTGATTACATTGCTTGATTTATTTCTAAATTTTCTATCAGTTTTCCTTCTCTCTGGAACTGATATATAGGATTGTTCTTTCTGTTGACAGTGTCAACATTAGGGTAAGAAGTGAGGGTGTACAAAAACGGGAGAGGAGAGAAAGTAGATGGGTAGAAGTGAGGACAGTAAGAGGAATCAGAGAGAGAGAGGAGAAAAATAAGATTGAAATATAGGAAAAGAGGTAGATCAATTCAAATCAAACATAGCAAGAAAAGGTTATATTTATTGTGTTTTGAACTCCCCAGACCTCATTTGTGGGATTACATTGAGTATGTTGTTGTTTGTTGTGTGATGAACTTTCGATAAGTTAGAATTCCCAATACATTTAAAACTTATCTCTAAAGTCTAATAAGAAGATAATTATCACGTCAATTTCATCAGAAGACCAGACTAAAATCAAATCAATTAAGAGAACACAATGATAAAGGGTACACACTAATCTAAAAATAGCTAAGCATAATCTCACAGCTAAATGATGAATATTAGTTGGAGAAAGGTCTTTATCTTCAATCAGAGATAAGAGTTTCAATTGTCTCAAGAGATTTGACCTTTTCAGGACTCCCTATGATAGATAAGGCACTTTTATTTTGTTTGGCTGAAATGAATTTGATATAAGGCTCAAATATGACAGGGCGAATTTTTTTGTTAGTTAATTGTATATGTATGCCTTTTGCGAGGGTTGGACTGTCTATGTTACATTGGCCTCCTTTCACTCTTCAACCTTGTGTTGTATTCAGAGGTAAGGCTCAGCCCCCCTTCTTGTATTTGTCTTTTGATGTATACACCCCAGATAGCCTGGGATAAAATTATAAAAAATAAATAAAATTGACACAACAATTTTTCTCTACTCATTCCCTTCTTTCGCCCCCCTTCTCCATCTTTCATTTCTCGCCAACTCTCCACTCTTATTTTTGATGAAGACTTATTTTTCTGTCTTCCTCTCCTATTCTTCTTTCTTTCTCATTTTTTTTTCTGGTCTCAACCTCCTTTCTGTCTTCCTCTTCTCATAAACAGAGATAATTTCATGTGGTTTTAACTCCTGTATTTTCACTTGAGATGCTTTCTGCATGTTAATCAAACTTGACCTCTTGAGGGAACTTTGAGACTAGAAACCATCGGAGAAACATATAATATCTATTGCTGGGGAGGTTATTGTCTGCCACCCATTTCTGGGATGGTAACCGTATTTGTCATCATTCGGAATACTGGGATCCCAAATAAATTTGTCTAGGATGTCTATTGAACTGGTCCTTTTACCTCACAATGGTGATCTCTTGTTCATTTAGTTTTGTAGACTGATAAATTTATTTTTAGCTATCATATCTAAGGGAAATTCTATATGTGCTGTTCTTTGAAGTTTGAACTTTTGTGCACTTTTCAAGTAAATGATTATATGATTATACACTAGATCCAATTGGTAATATCTATTTCCAAATATCTGTATGGAGGTAGTGCCTATAAGTCTGATCACTGTAATTTAAAGATTTGTTAGTTGTAGATTGGCATATTGTAACATTAGGGCATAATGTTCTTGCAGTGACAAAGACTATCATCTTTGCGCGTGTCCCATCCTCTTCTCCAACCTTTTTGACAGAGGTCAAAATCTTGTTGCCAACTCCCATGGAGGTTAAGCTATGGAATGATAAGCGGGAAAGAGAAATGTATGAAAACTTTGCAGAGCTCTTTGCTATAATAAAGGCAACGGAAAAGCTCGAGAAGGCGTATGTTCGTGACATCATTTCACCAGCTGAATATGAAGCTGAATGCCAGAAGTTGATTGCTCATTTCAAAACCTTATCTTCCACATTGAAAGATACCGTACCTAGCATTGAGCAATTTCATGACACCTACAAAATGGATTGCCCTGCTGCCTTAAACCGGCTTGTGACCTCTGGGGTGCCTGCCACTGTGGAGCACCGTGCCGCCGCTGCTACATCATCTGCATCCTCAGCTTCTGTTGTGGCTGAGTGTGTGCAGAACTTCATCACTGCCATGGACTCTTTGAAGCTGAATATGATTGCTGTAGACCAGGTCCATCCCCTTTTGTCAGACCTATCATCTTCCCTTAATAAACTTTTAATACTTCCATCTGATTTTGAGGGGAAGACAAAGATGAGAGAGTGGCTCTCAAGGCTGTCAAAAATGGGAGCTGCAGATGAGTTGACAGAACAGCAAGCCCGTCAACTCCACTTCGATCTTGAATCATCATACAATTCTTTCATGGCGGCACTGCCCTCTGCTGGAACTTAATTGCATATTTCAGGTGATATGTCTGTACATATGTGGCTGAATTCTTGTTTTTTTCTACCAAGTTTATACTACATATGATGCTTTATTTGGTCGAAGTGCTGATTGACGAGATTCAGAAAAGAGTCGTGTAATTTGTGGAACTTGTGTCTGGTGGTTCCATTTTATTCAACATGAACTCAGCCCCAGACAAGATGCTTATTTGGTTTGTGTGCCTTTTCTTTTGTTACATTAATCATATTACAAGGAAATATTGAGCTGTTAGATATGATTTTGTAAATTTAAGTGGAAATTTTGATGTAAAACTAAGTTCCATGGTATTAAGTTAACTCAAGTAATATTGCATTTGTTATTTTGGTATCTTTGGCTTCCCTCATATTTTGGACTTGGGTTAAAGAAGGTCAGGATTCATGACGATAGTGGTCTTGCTAATATTCTCAACAAGAGTATTCTGGGAAATTGCTAAATTGAAAGATCTGGTGCTTCAAGTTGATTAGGCAAGTTTTGTGGCGGTTTATTCACATCACTCTAAGTTATTCCTTGAACGGGGATACAATTTAAATTTTAAACAAGGGTCTCATATGATCCTATTTGTGCAAATCACCTGCTCCACCGTGAAATTTCACCGGGGATTAGGTTCCTTTTCAACTGGTACATACCTATCCACTCTGATCTCTTTTCATTAATTTGTTTGGGATGGATGCTTTCAGCCTATCTTAGCATTAGTAAATGGATCACACATTCACACTGATGGGCTGGCCTATCCATTTTATGGCCGTCCAGACAGACTTTGTGTTGGGTATTTGCCTTGATTTTTTACCATAAACAGGTAAAGTCTCCATATTTAACTAGTCTTTTTCTTGTAGGAAAAAGTTTAAGACTCTATAAATAGAGGCTCGTTTCTTCTAACATAGAAGTATTCACAATGTAGTCCTAGGAGCTTTGAGAGTTTTGTAATTTGTGGAACACAAGTGATGTGTAATCACTTGTGTGAACCTCTTTGTATTTCGAGTGAATTAGATGAGGTTATTTCTCTCTATATTTTGTACTCATATTTATATAGTGGTTTGTTCATCTCCTTTGTCGATTGATCGAACCACGTTCAATCTTTTTGTCTTATGTTTTTTTTTTTTTCGTTTGTCTTCTTACTCATGGTTTTTCAAGATTTGCTTTGTTAGACACGTAATTATTTCGATCCCAACACTCTGGCCCGTGAAACTATATATAGGAAACTGTAAGTCTGAAACACTTGTTTTAACGTCCAATCTTTGAAGGCTGGCCAATTTTTTTGAATGATCCATACCAGTAGAACAGTTGAAGAGCACTTGTTAAGCTTCTTCTTAGATTGATTTTACATCTTCAGTCCTTTTCCAAATAGGATTTACTCTTTATATAATATAACCATGTTGGTTGATTTACTACCTTTTGTTACCAGGATTTTTCTAGAGTATGGGACTTCATTGTACTCTCATAATATCGATCAGCTCAAGTATTAATTTCACGACCTTTAACTATCAATTGACAATTGCAGATCCGTATATCCTAACGGGTCCAGATACATACGTAGCTACTAAAACAGCTAGGCAGATGTGTAGTGTACCTGCAGTGCTGTCTCAGTCCCTACATTCAAAATTAATAACTAAAAGACAGTGGTCTGAACCACTTTCCATGAAAATGTTAAATATTTCTGTGCCTCTTTGTGGTCGCAACAAGTACCCAGAGAAAGAAGGAGATGATTATCAACAACAAAAACCAAGTGAAGCCAACTGTACTGTAAAAAGTGGGGAGTAACCACCTACTATCGATTAATGCATTTGTATCCCTTTGTGTTTTATGGCATTCTGTTGGATTTGTCTGTCTATTCATTAGCTAAAAAACGCAAGACATGAATTACTCTTTTCCATCATTTTGGACTTTGCACGATTCTTAAAAATAATATTCATATAGTTGATAATACTTGGGTTTTGGAAAATGTTGAGGGTAAAAGAAGAAACTTTTTTTTTTGTCTTTTCTTGATATGTTCAAAGTGACAAGTAAAAGTAAAAAAATTATTTTTTTAAAATAGCTAACTAAGTAAAAGTGAACGGAGGGAGTACCTTAAATTTCCTCAGACAACTTTGAGATGTTCTGGTAATATCATTTTTTCCTCAAATTTAATACTAACAACCATCCATCCATTTTCAAAATATTCTATTCGCTTCATTTTATATAACTCGAGGAAGAAAAAAAAAAGACTTGAGACATTTGGTATAGTAAAAGTGTTCTTAGACGTAGCATGTTGCTGGCAGAAGTAGAACCTGTTAGAGTATTGATCTCCTAATTGTTTCAGTGTAACTGGAAAGAGATTTTTTAACCAGAAAAAATAAGTTCAAATGTAAAATACCTATTCAAAAGTTGTTGTAATTCAATTGTATATGATAGAATTATTATAGATTTGACCCTTTCGAACCTTGCTTTCTAACATTCCAAGACTATTCGTACAACTTTTGTGATCTTTAATGTGTTATGATATCATGTTAAATTAGGTATTAGGCCTAATTCACACCCTAAAAGCTAGCTCAAAGGGAGCAAACCTTATAAAGAGTCCATCCATCTCATTAACCACCAATGTCAGATTTTTATCATTTTTAACAATATTTTATGACTACAGACTGTCGGATCATGTCATTAAAGTTTAAGTTAAACGAGTTTTGAATATAAAATGATGTCCTTTTTTTTCATATCAATAAAAAAGGTGTCATTTAAAATGTATCAGATTGTCATTTAAATTGTATCAGATGGTATTTATTTTGGATAGTTCATTATCATCATGTGCAGGGCTAGGTAAATTGCGCGCCTCGCATCATCGATCGCAATCATAATTAAAACATGAACCATATTTGTTTATCGAATTTATACTGTACGTGCGAAGTTGATTTATGGTCCATGTTTTAGCATCAAATGCTCTGCTAGCTTCTTATATCACGTGCAAATTTTAGCTATACCATTATAATTGTCTATTCATGGTTGAGAATGTGTTTTTTTTTTTTTTTGAGTCACAATTTTATTGCCAATGAACTGAAAGGGACATTTTGTAGAAGGAGGGGGTTAAAAGTGTAACAAAAATACATAAATCAAGTGATTATAAAGCTAAATTGGTCATGGTTCGTATACTCCAGCGCGCTTTGGCCGTTTTCTCTACCCAAAAGTTTTTCCTATTGCGATTCAATGAAAAACTTGTGTTATAAAATATGATTTTTCCATCGAACTAGCTCACTGGAAAAATGCATGATATAAAATAGATTTTCACTGAAATAATGAGAAGTTTTCTAATTTTTCTATGTAAAAACACTCATGTTTTATATTTTCTCACGATTTCAATCAAAAAATTTCAATGGGACAATATATAGTGATTTAGTGACGTTCTTTGCTTTCAACTAAGCTTTTGAGTTTTGATCTCCTTCATTCACATTATCCACTATGGCACTTGGCATTTTGTTTTCCTATAAATGGTAATGGCAAGATTTGGATAACTTATTTTTTCAAGTCATATACATGATAGTGTAACTTAAAAAGTTGATTAATATCTGCTATGACTTCTTAACACTACAACAAAAATATTTTTTAACGGTAATAAATATAGACATAAATAAAGAGTGTTAAAGTCTTTACCGGCATTAGTTAAGTGTCATTAGAACCAATGTCGCTAAAGGCATTAGAGACATATACAAAGCCGTTAATTAATTGCCGCTAATGATATTTTTGATGTAGTGTAAGTTTTACCGAGGGTAGGAAAAATCTTTACAATATTGTTTATGCATATCACTTAAATTTGTTTTAAATAGTTTATAAATGATTTTAAGTAATATCGTTATTGTAAGTGTAATAACTTTTTACAGTAATAGGTAGATCTTAATTATCTATTGTTCCAAGTGATATGTCTGTTTATTTTATAATTTTTAATTAAAAAAGGACAAATATTATATAGTAAGATGTTGAAAATTAAATATTTTTAATTATTTAAAATTTAAATCTTAATACAACATCTTTTTTTATCCAAGCCATCATCCCCCTAGCTAGACATCTAGATCTTATTAATGCATATCTTAATAGTTAAATCATAAATGTGTATTCAAATTCAAAAACGTCTTAATCTTAATAAAAATAAACGACTCCTAACTATAATAAGTTCTATATATTAATAACTTAAACTAAATACGTAATTAAAATGAACAACTAATATCCCATGCATATTGTGTAGAGGCTACATGATTTGGTCACACAAATTGCATAGTACGTAGTATCATGCAGCCCCATGAGAGCATATAAATAAAGAAATAAATAAATACGTATTTCTGGTCTCATCGTCGGTACTGAGATATACCAGTATGGGAAGTTTCTAAGTATATTATTATAAGGTGTTTAATATTTTGAGTTATGATGCTGTGTGTACAGGAAACATAATGGGAACCACCAGTGAAACTGGCTTTACTGAACAGTGGCCTCTTATACCAAAGTCTTGCACAGTTCATTTATGTGATGCAACAACTTCAATAGTCATTGCCATTAAAATTCATTATTAATACATCCTGCTAATGATGTACTAGTACTATTTCACATAATTTCTCAAATCCCACTCAACGTAGAAATATTTTTATTTTCTCATTATAGGTCTATTTTTCAGTTAGAAATGTTATAAATAAACGTAGAATATACTAAAGTAGTAGTGATAGTGTTTGAATAAGTTATTGATGATTTGTATTGACGGAATATATTACTAGAAATATGCAGTAACGTCCTCTTTTCAGATATGGTACAATTATAACAAAGTTTGACTTTTTTCATTTTCTTTCTTAATTGTCAAACCTAATTTAAGAAGAACATAATTCTTCTCCTGCTCTCTTCTACTTTCTTCAACAAGTTCTTGTTTTTATCCCTTTCTTATCATCATCATTAATTAAACTTATCGTAGGATCGATACGAAGGAAAATAATTTTCATGAAAAATATTAGTATTTTTTTTCTTTCAATTACACAGATAATGTCTGAGTGGTGTTGTATTAACAAAAAATGGTCTCAACACAACATACATGTGTGTCAAGATATAATATCTAGGCCTAACTCAACCCCAAAAATTAGCTGAGAGAGATTTGTTCAAGTCCATATAATGAGACCAGATTCCCATTCCTCTAGTAGGACTTCTGTGAAGCTACTATGGATTTTATCATCCATCAGTCCAGAAGGCCTAATAATTTTATAACCCTCTGGTATAAACTATATACATAAAAACTCAGCTTTAAAAAAAAGAAAGCTTTGTCAAACTTTGTCCTAATGCTAGGCATTTGACACTCGTCAAGTTGTAGCGGACCCTTAACTATCCTTGGAAGTTGATGGAAGGAATGGATCAACATGTTCAGATCAAAAAAATATTAGTATTAATTTGTGTCAGTTACACATGCAAAAATAAATAAATTATTATAAAAATATTTGTAAATATATAAGTTAGACAAATATTATAGGAGAAGGGGTGAAGAATGGGTGGTGGGGATAGGGGTTATGGAAGTAGGAGGTGAAGGTGAGATGTGTTGGAGACACCTGGAAGTAAGAAACTACTAAGTTTCTAAAAAAAAATGTTTTCCAAAATATTTAACTTATCGAACATGAGAAAATTGATAAATATTTTTTGAAAAATGTTTTTTCTATACTGAATAAGCCCTTAATATTGGACTCTTGTACCTGTAGGAGTTCTCAAAATTGATTTTGATCATTTATCGACTAAGTATGACAAGTTGCAAACACCATGAATCAAACTCATGGCTTAATTCTTCACGAATCATTTTTTGCAACTTCCATACAACATATCCGAAACTAAAATATTTCAAATTAATGCAAAAACATAGAAAAACGAAACCATAAATTTGCTAGCGCTAGCAAATTATAACACAAGCTTTTCAGAAGTCAAACTAAACTTCTTTTTAAAACATAGAGAACTTGTCCCAACAATTAACCCTTAAAGCAAAAGGGTTCAAAACAAAATAAAGCTTTGTTGCTAGCTTAGTTTTATAATATTCTTGACATGTACCAATATAACATTGGTAAAGTCTACCCTAAACCCTATATTAAAAAAATAAAAATACACCCTTGCAGGATAGTGAAATGCTTTTTTGCCAAAAAAAACAATCACCACTTGCAAGGATTTCCTTTGGGTTGCCTTCTCCACTAGCTCCTTCCCTTTCATCTCACAATCTTGTAACTCTTCCCCCTCCAAGGCCACCTGCCACCTATCACAAAAAAAAAAGTGCACTAAGACAAGTGTTCATAACAAATAAGTAACCATAGTAAAAGGCTATTGAAATTTGTAGCTTCAAAACAAGTCACAAATGTTTGTGTTGGATAAAAATCATTTCACTATGAGTATAATGAGAAATTTTAAGTTCAACTGTTTTTCAATATTTCACGGACTAAAAAGAGAGAT